TTTTTTTAATTTAATATATTGCAAATACCTTGAGAAGTCAGGTGAGAAATACTAAAAAGTAACAGTTCTAATTTATAAAAATTTTCAAGCATAATAAATTATATGTATAAAGATATCATTCATTAAAAAAAATTCTTTTTTACCCATCCTAAAATGGATCAAACGACACACCTTGCAAGGCGGGCATTATCTCTAGTTTAACTTAAAAAGGAATGCATATTTCCTCAAAAAGCAAATTGCCTTTTTTTCCCCCTTCTAATTATTACCTAATTGGCGAATATATAACATCTTTTAAACCACAAATGCCAGCCTCAAATTCATTTTTTTTTATTTTAAAAAAAGAAAGGTCGATCTCATATTCTTTTCATTATCTTGCCATCTTTCCCCTTTTACATATCTCCTTTTTTAGTCCCGCCATTTCTCTTAAATATTTAGGAGGGACCCCCTCCATCTAAAATCTCAGCAACCCACCAAACACTTCTACATGGTACTGACTGGTAGTGCAAGATCACTTTTTAAAGGTTACTGAAGTAGGACTAACTATAATCTGAAACTAAATCAGTCAAAAAACTTGAAGATTTCATATACATTTTACTAAGAAGATAATGTAAGCATGTCGTACTTTCAAAAATTTTTATGAAGAAATTGTTTAGAATTTTATCTTTAATTAATATTTTAAAAAATTGATTGTTGAAGTAAAAGTTCTATTGATATAGATCATATATATTATTTTTTATATTAATCTAACACTTAATAACTCTTTTATCAAAGAAATTCTATTTACTAATATATATTTATTGATGTTAAATTTTTTATAATCAATGAAGTGTCTAGAGCTTGGACCTACTAAAATAATTTGAAAATTGATATGTATTATTTATATGAATAGAACTTTTAATTTAATAGTTAAGTTTTAGAAACATTAATTTAAATGTGAGTTTTTAAACAAATTTTACAAAAAAAAAAAATTAGGAGGACAAACTTATTAAATACCTTTCTCTTTTACTAATTATGATTATAATATGATTGGTCAAGAACTTCAATTAAATATGCAAAACAAAATACTATATTAATAATCTGAAATTATGGTTTAAAATATATAGCTCTACTAAACAGATTAAAAAAAAAACCCCTTGAAATACATGTTGTCACCGATCAACTATGTAGCGTAGCATAACCTATACTGGCATTCTTTAAAAATTTAGAGCTTAAATTTATGCTCCAAAGTATCCACAACAAAACTAACCACTTGTAGAAATTGAGTTACACCATTTACCCGGATCCTTATATTTTTGGATATGGGTTTGTAATCCAGAGCTGGATTGCACCTAAAATTTCTTATACTATAAATCTTTCCCTTCCAAAATTCTTGTGTTGGGTAGGGCTGACTTCTTGTCAATGACAACGCGAATAGCATCTCACTGAATTCAGTTATAAGACTCATAACATCAAATAGGATGAAAGATGGGGTAATTCGAATAAAAGTAGTAATTATATCCAACTTTTAAAAGCCCATCTATTTAAAAGTTTTTTTTTTTTCCATGAAAACAAAAGCCCATCTATTTAAATGTTAAGAAGACCATATTTTTAATTGTATTTGTCTAATTTGTGTTTTAAGAGTATAAATTAAAAGTGCAATAAATACTTATTTTCATGATAAATTTGTATTGAAAAAATAAAAATTGACTTTTAATTTATCAATAAATCGTCCAGAAGCAGTAGACCTTGAATATCCCACGAAGACATTAGGCTTAATCAATCATGTATTTCAGTGTGATGACATCTTGTGCATGTTCATGGTCAGATTTTATGCTGTGATTTGGAACTGAGAACCAAGGAACATGAGAGATTTCCAATGCCAGAAGTAGGCAAACTGGGATGAGAAGATTTTGGATTTGGCTATGATTCAGCCACTGATAATTACAAGGTCATATACAGCCCACAAAAGAGAGGGAAGAGAAGATCTGGAGCTTGCTGTTAAAAATTGGTCACTGGAATGTTGCTGTGAACAACATACCAAACTCATTGCGTACCTGCAGACAAGGAGAAAAGGCCACAACGGTCGATCGCTGCCTCTATTGCATTGCTAGGAGAAATTATGATCATGTAGGGACAACAAATACCGAAGTGATCTTATGTTTTGATTTGAAGAGATAGATTGAGAGAAGAAACATCTCCTATCCGACAATAGCATATTCACTCATAGTTCCAAAAATTTGTTAGCACTTTTACATGGTTCTCTTTGTTGGCAATCACTCCTTATGGTTTTTGTACTATTTTTGGCTGATGGAGGAAAATGCAACGACCAAACAAAATCTTGGGTTAAAATGTTCAGAATTCCAAAGGTTGGGGCACCGCTGCCTATGCGTCCCATTTGTCTCTCAAAAAATGAATAGGTTTTGACTGGTGAAAACGAGAAAGGATTATTGTTTCTATTTGATCTCAAAGGATGGAGCCGTGAAGGAGATTGCAATCCACGGCCTTCCGTATACCCATTCTATTTTCCCTATTCTCTACCTTGGTATCATTTCAAACCTTAGATATTTTGGGGTTGGGGACAATGGCCCCATTCCATTGATGATACTCCTAAAATAATCATCTCAGAATATATTGGCTGGCAAAAATCAGAAGGACAAGCTTCACATGCTGAAATGATGGATATAATAGACATACTGATGAGGACAAAACCGAAGGAATCAAACTCAAAGTAGGAAGAGTCGAGAAAAATTAAACGGAGCAGCATTACAAGCATGTTGCTATTAGGAGGGAAAAAAATCTAATCATGGCAAAGACAGAACTAGATGCAAAGACAACCTTGATGGGCAATTTCAGGGCACAGATTCATTGAGGAAAACGTACAACACAACATGATCATATACATCAATATACATGGGAAATGTTATGCTCAAGGGAGAAAAGATCAGAGATATGTGCCATCTAATCATTCATCATGCGGAAAATTGAAAATGCTACTCCACCAATCTTATCTACATAGATAATTTATGCACATGGGGCAAGGGGGAAAATAATATACAGAAACTTTGTTGGGTTGCTTGATATTATCTCAACTGACCCACAGAAAAGATATTTACGTCTGATATGTATGGAATCTAACCTCTGTGCTACAACTTTCCAAGTGTTCATACTGGGAGAGCTTTACCATTCCTTATCTCCTTACTATCAAGTCCTCATCTTCACGCTAAAGTTAGTTTAGTCCCGTGGAAGCTGCAACCTTGAGATGGGAAATTTAATAGCATATGACCCATAATTTAGACCTATAAGCATTTGGTGGGTGAGATCACAGTACTGTACATGGAGCCATGGCAATCCAAGAGGAAGTAACATGGCATGATAGCAGTTGTAGTTACTCCCACCCCATCAACATATTCCAAACTCCTCTTGTAATCTTGGCTTGTGGAATGGGAAAGCCATTACCTTCATCCAATCGAACTCTGTATACTTCCCATTCCCGGTCTCCAATCATATGCCTCCCAATCTCAGCCTGTAAAACAATCAGAAATAGTTAGATTTGTCCAACATAAAACAAAACAGAACTGATAAATCATTGTCCACCAAGATGGCCTTTTTTTTTTTTTTTTCCAATTTAAATTTTCTTATCAAGCAGTGAAGCACATGTAATCTGTTCAAGACACATAAGTAAAAGCACAATTCAAACTGAGTATAAATTAGGCCTTCAAGAGGGGTAAAATATATGAATGTAACGCCTAAATATGATTTATATAGCATAGAAAAGAGAAAATACCGAGAAGATGCAAGTATCAAGCATCTTGAGAGCACGAGTAATATCATGAAAAACAAGAGGCCGGCCCTTGCCAGATAACTCAACAGGGTTTGCAACCAGAAGCTCTGTATCAGGACCACGGCTGACCAAAGCTACTCTGAGTGGCTGAAGCAGCTCCATCCGTAGACGAGAGGATAATGCATTCTGCTTGTTGGGATCAACCATCTTCTTACCATCAGCTTGCATGATAAACAAGTCGATCTCACACTTCCCTCCTTGTAGAACAGAGAAGCGTCCATAAGAAATCTGGTTACGTAACAAAATTCAAAGCATTAATATCGCAATTGTTTTTAGTTTATATATACATAAGAAAGGTTCTCATTTTTATTCTCCTGAAAATTACACAAGTAAAAGTTGCTTCCAAAATTTAGAAAGAAATCCTAAGAACAAGGCATGGGGAAGCATGAATAGCAACACCAAGAATTAAATATTTAAGCACATCAAGAATGAGTTCATCCACTCATTGGAGCACCAAGCGATGGAAAAACAAAATTACAGCCAAAATAGAAATCAAAGAAGAATAATAAAAGCCACTGTGCCATCATGTGTTTCATATATCAAAATGTTCAGATAACTCCACAAAACAGATAAAAATACTTTTAAAAATAATTTAAGATGGAAAAATTGTAGAACCTATTTTTTCCAAATAGAAGATCAGACCATGCCTGTGGCTGTGATTAACTCCAGCATGTACTTTCATAAGAATACTCTATGCTACTGAAAATCTTAATCCACCTACCTGAATATTGTAATCCTTTAGAGTTCTCATTATGTCATAAAGAAGACCTTTGTGATCTTGGCAAACGATTTCAACAACTGTGTGAAAAGGACTAAAAGAGTTGTCCATTCTGACTGAAATACTACTGGCCATAGACACACTTGGAAGTTCATTGGAAATTTCCAAGGGAAAAATATCTTTTGTTATCACAGATGGAAGGAATGAAGATGCCTGAGAACAAGCAGTGAGCTGAGAGCCAACCATTTCTATGTCACAGCTTATCAGGCTATCCCACAATACTTCACCTATGGCTTTATAGGTTTCCTCCTGTCTATCACGTGTGTGTAATAGTTCCCTGAAATAAAAGTAAAAGAAAAGAAAAATCATTCCTTGAAAGGTAAAAGAGAGTAGCAGGTGTTAAAAAGGGAACCATATGATATGTCAGATTATCAGAATCAGTTTATTAATTAAGGTAACCTATATTATGTTTTAAAACTTAGAAAACCAACCAAAAGTTGCACTAAAGGAGAAATTAATCTTGTCTGGCAGACCAGCCCTGAAACCCCAGCTTCTTCTCCATCTAACACTAAGAATTCTGCTATACGTACACAAATGCTCCCATTTATGTAAGTCTTTTGTAGTTTGGCCAGCAAACATACTAAACCTGTACCCTAGTGTTATTATGATTCCAGATGAATTTTCAGTCATTTTAAAATAAACTAATAGATCCCAGTTAATGACCATAATGTAAAATCTGCAGCACTATTACACTACCAACTTAAATGAGAATGATACCAGTTGTCAAAGACAATTGCATAGTATATTTTTAGGGAGATCATAACAAAGAAGCAAAACCTGGTGTCTGTAATGAAGAATAGGTCTATGACTCTCCCATCTGGGGTGGTAGACACCTTCACTTTCTTTATAATGAGCTCAAGCTTACAGAGAATTCCTGTCACATCTGCCAAGAGAAACCTTAACACTTAATTTTGTTGCACAATTATGAACATTTCAGTATGCAAATTCTTCAATAAAACACCCCTATCACAATCAAAAGACCTTATGCAATGAAGAAGATGCAAAAGACCATCCCTTCATGCCTGATATCGATTCTGAATGGATAGATTGGATATCATGTTCTTTTTCCCTATAATATTCAAACAATTATGCAAAGTTGAGAGGACAAACTAGAAGATCAAAATGAATAACTATGAAAATCAAGGTGAAAACTTTTTACTAATCAAGAGTGCCAAAAAAACAATTGAACAACTAACCCAGAAAACAAAATAAAAAGGGAGAAAAGAACTAAATAAGTACCGTGTAAAAGCCCTATTCTATCATAACAACAAAGCTTCAGCAGGAACACATCAGGAGGCTTTGGTGACTGCAATTCTGAACAGTAATAGGAAATCCCAGAAGCCGAGTAGCAGGAAGGGCATGCATCCTTCATTCTCTTCTTCAACAATTCCCATCTTGATGGACCCCATTTTTCAGACGATTTGGTCACAACCCAAAAAACTATGTAGCACCATTTCCCATCTGTAGACATATCTACGCACAAAAACATAGAAAATCATATCAAAAACAGCCAACATTCTTCACTTCTCAAAATCAAATTAAAATTTCAAAAATCCCACAAGACTTTTTTTTTTCCCTTAAAATTAGACTAAAAGCGCAAATGCCCATCATTTTTATTGAATTAAAAAAAAAAAAAAAACCTACAAGCAACTACAAACCAA